ATGAGCTCATCAAGTTGGGTAGAAAATAAAATGATTTCGCAAATCACAGTCCGAACCACTATCAAAACACTCTGATTCCCTGCACTGAATTTTGTTTATGTATCCATTTTTCCAAAAAAAAAAAACTAATTAACACCCTCTTCAAATGCAGCATTGAGCGGAGCTTTTGGTATATAGAAGGATTCACTTGGTACATAGAAAGACCCATTTGGTATTTCTAAAGAAATTATCCTTAAAAAATTCAACGCGTAGATTATTCATTAGATTGTAGACACGATTATTTAAATAACAGACCTTCTCCTAAAGAAACCTTTGCATCCGTTGCAGGCATTTACTCCATAGTGTTTTCCAAAAGCCTAAACTGTAGCAATCTACAGTAACCCCGCCTGAAAATGCGTACAGAGAGCATACCTGATCGCCGCAAACAACGCAGACGAGGTTCATACTCGAGTTCTTCTTGCGTCCTCGACTGGGAGCGTCTTGTGAGTTCGTCAAGTTGTTCGACTGCGTAAATTGCGAACCGTTCAAGCCTGTCATCGGCTGAATGCCGGACAGACTGCTGTGACCACTGATTGCAGCTGCCGAATTTCGAATCAACTCGTCCAGCGCCGTCGACGCGACGTCACCGAAGACGTCCGAATGGTCGAGAGACGCCAATGTATTGAACATCTGAAACAGAGAGTTTTAGACACTATACGGGGAGACGCAGCGGCTATGTGATGCGATCTGCCGAGAGAAATTCATGTACTCATGAACCTTTGATTTTGTAGACAGCTGAAATGAGGAATGATGAGAGAGTGACGCGAAAAAGGAGATGGTGAGAGGAAGGCGAAAGAGCATGGGTAGTGATATGAAACAGAGATAGAACCGGGGAGAGTATGTGGAGTTTTTAGAAGAACGAGAAACGCCCAGCGAATACGAGAATCACGTGGCGTAGCGCTTTTCGAAGTTCTCGCCAAAAACTGTTTCATTTCCAATTCAACACGCAATAATTTAAGCACTAAGAACCTAC